GGGACACGGAGCAGAGGTGTACGCGGAAGCAAGGGGAGGCGAAAAGAAGGGTGAAGAGGGGAGAAGGGAAAGAGAAGAGAGCAGAAGAGAAAATATGAAAGAAGTGGGAGAGGTGATAAGATGAAATGAGAAGAGAGATGGGAGAAGAAAAGAGTAAATGGGAAAAGTAATGAGAAGGGAAAAGAAAAAAGAGAAAATAAGAAAACGAAGAGAGAAGAAAGAAGAGATGAAAACATGGGGAACTATTAGAGAAAGAAGAGTGGAAAGGGCAGGAGAGGGGAAAGAAGACCTGCGGAAAGAAGAACGGAGAGGAGGGGGGGGAGGGGGGCAAGGCAGCATTTGGGAAAGGGGAAACGAGGGATATTTCGGGTGATCAGCAAAGAGGGGAAACGAGGGGAGGAGGACGTAGTTAGGAGCGCGATAATGGCTCCATGGGTGATTTCATGCTTTGGGAGTCAAATTTCTAGGTTACAGCAAGGTCTGGGGCAATGCAGAGAGGAGGGGGAGGGGAAGAAGAGAAAAGTGACAAGAGGAAGGGATGGAAAGAGTGAAGGCGAGATAAAGGGAGAGAGATGTGAGAGAAGAGATGAATAGCGAAGAGAAGAGGAGAGGGGGAGAGGATTGGAGAACATAGGAGAGAGGACAGGAGAAGAGAAGCAAAGAGAGGAGAGGAGAAAAGAGCAGAGGAGTGAGAGAGAGAGAGAGAGAGAAGGGGGGGGGGAGTACTGTGGGGCCTCGATTCTGCCAACACAGCTCCTGGGCCACGTGGGGGGAGGGGGAGGGGGAAGGTGGGGGGGAGATAAACACGAAATACTAAAGACAAAGAAAAGTGAGCGTAAATAATCAAGTATTCCAGTAACCAAAACGAAAACAAAATAACCTGAATGTACAACCAAACACAGGAAAATAAAAATCTTGACATATTTTCCAATAACTTGAAACTTCCAAAGGCACCCTCGCGATTGCCAATAAACACATTAATGAAAAGGATTGAATTAATAAATAAATACCTTAGATTCAGTTGGATTTGATTAGATTTGACAGGCAATTATGTATAATCTGACAGTGAGGTCGTTTTCTTTTTTTTTCTATGGCAATCGATGGTGGCAGCGAAGCCGGCTAGGGGAGGGGGGGGGACTGCGGACACTGCGGTGCTGATGTTGGTGATGATGGTGGTGGTGATGGTGATGTTGGTGATGGTGGTGATGTTGGTGCTGGTGATGGTGGTTATGACGATGATGATGTTAGTGCTGGTGATGATGATGTTGGTGCTGGTGATGTTGGCGCTGGTGATGGTGATTTTGGTGATGGTGATGGTGATGTTGATGTTGGTGATACTGGTATTGTCGGTGCTGGTGATGTTGGTGATGATGATGTTAGTAAAGGTGTTGTTGATGTTGGTAAAAGTGATGGTGATGCTGGTAATGGTGATATTGATGATAATGGTGATATTGGTAGTGGTGATGGATATGTTGCTATTGGTGATGGTGATGTGCGATGTTGCTAATGATGTGGTAATGGTGATCTTGGTAATGATGTTGGTGAAGTTGGTAATGGTCTAAGTAGTGGTGATAATAGTGGTGTTTCAAGTGGTGGTAATAATCATCACTTGCGAAGATGCTGATAAGATAATGCTTTATGAATGAAGGGAGGCAAGGGAAAGGAAGAGGGAGAGGGAGAGGAAAAGTGAGAGGAGGAAGGGAGAGGGAGAGAGAGAGAGATGAAAGCGAGTAAGAGATAGATAGATAGATAGATAGATAGATAGATAGATAGATAGATAGATAGAGAGAGAGAGGAGAAGAAAGGGGAAGAGAGAGCAAAATTACCGCGAAAACACACACCCTTAAGAAAGAAAAGAAAGGGAGCATGAACGTAGAGAGCAAAAGAGTAAGCGCGAGAGGAGAGAGGCGAGCCAGTTGCTTCCTTATCACCCCGACTATAGTCCCAGGATCTTGGCCTCTTAAAGTTCCGATGCAAGGCAAGTGGAGGGAAAAGCATGTATGAACTGGATCTTTTTCTGCCGAGTGTGAATCCTTGAATATCGGGGAAAGAAGATGACAGTTTCTTTATATAAAAATACAGCCCCTTGACTCATCAGTTAATAATATCCCGCCAAAATAAACACCCTTTCCTTTAGTTTTACTTTTTTTTGTTGATGTTGTTGCTGCTGCTGCTCCTGTACGTACCCCCTTTCCTATAAAAACAAGGGAGGTTTATAAAGGGTGAGTGACTATTTCCCTTTTTTTAATGAAAGGGTTCTCTATCCATCCACGTCGCGCGAGCTTAAAACAAACAGGCTGCTGCGACCTATTTACTTCCCTTTCAAAAAACAGAGAACATAGGCCTATATGTCATGGGTGGCTCTCAACCTCCCCACGCCGTATTTAAAGCCAATATTAATCGGGATAGCAAAAGAAAAGATAAAGAACAATTAAGAAATCATTAGTTAGTCTGCAGCCCAAGCGAGCTGCACCAGGCAGTAGAGCACAGAGGTACTCACGTTTTGAGGAGCCTTTCACGAAGAATCAGATATAAGCCTCGGTGGGCGGGGGCGAGTGGGTGCCTAGCCCTCCTCACGGGCGGGCCGCCAGCTCACCATCGTTGCACTGTACGCCCACGGTCGCCCGCCCACATCGCCACCTAGGTCCAGGGTCCTGCGAATGTGCGGGCGATGGTGATGCCCACTCCCTCATTATATTGTGACCGGAATCATGGGCAGCGTCCGGGCCGGAGGCACCACAGATCTCAACACTCCTGAGTCGTCACCACACAGCAGGGCAGGCCGGCGCCACCCTCACTTGCGACCTTAATATAACACGCCCACGAGGCCAAACACACTGCCGCCGGGGCACCAAGTATGACCCCAACACTGCCCCAACTGACCACTGGCCCGGAATCACCACTACTCGAGGTGGTCACCACTAGTGAGTACACTCCTCACGCCTACACGCCCGCCCCGACACACACAACCTCAAGCCCGCCCATTCGGCGCTCACCACAACCCAGACTGGTCCTCTGCGGGCCCGTGGCTCCCCTGCCAAAATTATCAGGCGACCAGGGTAAAAATAGCGCTTTGGACAGCCCGCAGCACAGCTCAGCCACACTCCTCGCCCCTCAACCCCTGTGCCGCTGCTGCCGCTGCTGCCTGCTTCTGCCGCGGCCTTTGGTGTAGGCAGAACCTGCACTGGCGCGTGGATACACCTGAAATGCGAGGTTCTCTCACACACAGATACACACGCACACACACACACGCGAGTGACCTCATCCTCACACCCACACCCGCCGCCCTCCGCCAGCGACGCCCGGCAAGAATCACGCCGATCCTCGCCCCGTGTCCTCCCGCCCCAGGGTGCTCCTCCTGCCCTCGGCCTATACGGGATCAAGGCAATACTCTAAAGCACCAGCATCGAAAAAATGCAGGGGAAGCCGACCCAAAAATACCACAGTTACATTCTTGCCTTAGATGAGGAATTTGGCATCACTCCTGCCGAAGTTGCAGAGTCCAACGCACAATTTTTTTACGCTCTACCATATCGCCTCCAGTCCTGGTTGTCGCGAATAACAGACGGTACTAACGCGAGAGCCGTACTTCTACCTTCGTAACTAACCGACCTGGGCACAAATCGCCACTCCAATATCCTTTGCCAAGACATAGAATGTTAATGTAAAAACATCTGAGAAAGATCAACCATCATAGTTGCTACTTAGTAAATATTGACTCATTTCTAGACCACGTCAACTATGTCCCCTAGCGCGCCCCTCTCGTCGCAGGGAAATGACGGAGAGATCCGCCCAAATCAAACAGCGAAGCCCACATTTTATGTCATGTTTCCGGATGGAGCCGAAGAAAAGTTGCGACGTGGTGTAAGGGTGTAACTGGAGCAGCTCGAGCCGACACCTGAGCTGCCGGCGATAACTCTGCGCTCTGGCGGCCGCTCGGGACAACTGCCTCCGCTGCCCTAATTACCTTAACTCCTTCACACCTACAATACAGCGCAAAGGACGTCGAGTGACTACATTAGCATGCGTTTTTTAACAACATGTCTTACCAATCCGTCCCTTTATGTTTAAGTAAGGGCACGAAAAAATTTCATGCTTACAAGTACTCTGCAGTGCAACCGACGTCGATGGATAACGGTAATATATATATAAATATATATATATGTATATATATATATATATATATATATATATATATATATATATATGTATGTATGTATATATATGCATATATATATATACATATATATATATATATATATATATATATATATATATATATAACTATATATAGATGTATATGTGTATGAGTGAGTGAGTGAGTGAGTGTGTGTGTGTGTGTGTGTGTGTGTGTGTGTGTGTGTGTGTGTGTGTGTGTGTGTGTGTGTGTGTGTGTGTGTGTGTGTGTGTGTGTGTGTGTGTTTGTGTGTGTGTGTGTGTGTGTGTGTGTATTGTTTTTGTTATTCAAGCAATGAAACTCAACGATCCCCTTATTCAGGCTAAGGCCATAAAAAACGGGATAACTGCCTGTACCCACGTTGTATTGACTCGCAAACCTACGCCTTATCGTCGAGGTCTGTTACGCTACAGCGTTGAAAGATAACTCCCTTTCTCTTCATGCCATTTTGTTACAAGAGAGAAACGAAAAAGCATCATTGACTTACAAAAGGAGATGATTTATTCTTCATGAATGATTTAAGAGGTACAATAAGAAATGGTGATATATGAGTATGCGGCAACGTATGACTAACAATTCAGTAGCAAAGTGCAAGGGTCACGTGATCAATCAGTAGATTTTTATGGCTCAGTGTGCCTGTATGTTTCTGCATACAGACCCACACACATACACACACACGCATATCTATGCGTGCGTATGTGTACAAGAATATATATATATATATATATATATATATATATATATATATATATATATATACACATATACATATACGTGCGCGTGTGTGTGTGTGTGACTGTGTGTGTGTGTGTGTGTGTGTGTG